TTTTTAAGATGATTCAACGATTTATTTAACCGACATTATTTTCTATTTCTCTAAATGTTTATTTGCAGATAGACTGTCTAATCCATAAAATAACATGAGTTTGGAATAGTAGAGAAGATTCTACATACAAGACAAAAGGAAAACTTAGCCAACGTGTTTCGTCCTCCGATGGACTTTATCAATGTAAATGTAAGAATTTTTATATATAAACAAATGTATATTTTATATATATATATATATATATATATATATATATATATATTAAAAAAAAGATTCCTTTACAAAAAAAATAATTATAATTTAAGCTCTACTTCTGTATGGAGCACTGTTTTTTTTTTTTTTTGTTTTAAATTAAAACAAAAAATACTAAAGAACTCGGATTATTTACATAACGTGTTCTTTCCTATTTTTCTACATATCTGCACATATACACACACACATATATATATATATATATATATATATATATATATATATATATATATGTGTGTGTGTGAAAAGAGAGAAAATACAAAAGGTGGTTATTGATCTTACACTAAAAGAGCAACAATGCTTAAATTTAAGATTTGTTGTATTTCTTTCCACCACTAAATGGAGAACAAAACGTAGACAATAATATTAAGGATACTAGTGAAACAAGTTCAGAAAAAAATTATAAATTTTTATTTTAATTCTATATTTTTTCCTTAACACCTACATAATATTATTAAGAATTATAATTGAAATTATATGTACTTTCTACTACATCCAACCAGAAAACGAAAAAAAAAACAACAAAAAAACAATAGGGAAACTACTCCACTAAACGTGATTTCTTACAACTCTTTTATTTCCCTATAATACATTTATTTTAACATTTTTTCCGTTTTTTATGACTTATTTGCTTTTAATTCTATTAATTCTTAAATTTAAAAAAAATTAAAACTGCAGCGTTTCTAAGTAGCAGTGTTGCCATGGTAACAATTTTTCATTAACGTTCCATTCAATGAAAAAGCTAACAGAAAAAAAATTTCAACATCCAACATACGGATAAAAAATAACTTATGTACACAAAATTCTAAAGGTATGTAAAATAAAAATACAGAGGAAGTACCTTAATTTATAGGATTTATTCAACCTCTAAAGCGAGGCTATCCTAAGGAAGCTGGGACCCTACCAGGATTTAGCATCAATGAACACAATATTAACGATATAAATTATGCAGATGACACCTTGTTGATGACACAGAAGGAAAACTGCAAGACTCCCAAGACAAGAAAAAAAGAAGAAAGGACTGTCAATTGTAAGAAGACAATGTATGGTTTTCAGCAAGAGAAAGTTGCCTTTCAAAAGCTAAGTATTAAGAAACAGGAAAACTTCGCCAGAGACCAAGAAAAGAGTACTAAACTGCTATATAATATCAATCCTCCAATATGATAGTGATTACTGGACAATTTCCTCACTGATAAAGTGGAAACTGGAAGCAACAAAAATATGGATCTACAGAAGGATGCTGAGAATATCAGAGCGTGTAAGTAAGGAAGAAGTTTTAAAAACAAGAATGGAAACAATTAGAACCAGAAAAATGCTGATGAAATTTCTGAGGCGCATAATGTGGGATAGACGGCTTGGAAAAGTTGACACTCACAGGACATATCGAATACAAAAACGGACGCTGGGGGAAGGCAGCGGGCCACCTGCTTAACAAGACGTTGTGAAGGCCATTATCACCATGGTCCTGAAGGAACACAGCACAGGGAAGAACATTTCGTCCACTTCATTTTACAGTAAATTACATATATAATTCTATGTATGTATTATTGATGAGGTAGTCACTAGCTGAAGATAATAGAAGCGAGTGTGAATTTTTCTGGCGGATTAAACATCAAAGGGTTTCGGTAGAGATGGCTGCCAGAAATAATCTGCTGACCAAAGAACTACACAAAAGAAACTTGCAACAGAAGCCGACATGTATGTGTGTCTATGCGTGTGAGAAAGTGTTGATATGTGCGTCAGTAGAGAATGTATTTGCAGAGGCGCAAAATATTTGTTAAAAATATGCATATAAATAAGGGGACATCAATTTGTTTTTTACCTATTTTGTTAGTTCACTGCAAAAAATGATTAAACATTTAAAATATATTTTTATATAGAGACCTCCACAAAAAAAAAAAAAAACGCGATACCCAAGGTTTAAGATTTTGAATTTTTTTTTTTTTACATGAAAAATCTTTCTCGAAGCTTTTATTTTAATTTTAAGCTAAGGAGTTATTTTTTTTTTTTTTTTTTTTTTGCTAAAATATCTGATTGGCGCCACTTTTTGAGTAGTCTTTCATCGCAATGCAATTCTCTTTATTAAAAAAAATCTTCCAAAAATAAAATATACTTTTCTGAGACTTTATTTGAAGAATATTATATTAAACTATAATTAATCTGATTTTAGACAAATATTTTGAAGTTTGAAATATCGTAGAAATGCATTTTTAACCCGACAGTAGCCGTCTTGACATGTTGAAAGTCTCATGACAGGTCTAATATTGCTCTACGGAAACTTTATATATAAAACATAAGAAAATGACTCAAGCACAATTTTTAAGTACTGAGGAATCTTAAAAATGTTGGAAAATATCTCCATAATCTGTTTTATTATAGATATTGCTCTTATTTTCTGATATCGTTTATGACCGGACGTAAATCAGCAGGTTTATACAAAAAAAAAAAAAAAAAAAATATTCAAAATTCTTTTAAAAATATTTGTGGTTTATGATTTGTATTAAGCTTTTCCATTTATTATTAGTAAAATTAGTATAATTTTCACTTAATAATAGCTAAAAGGCTGAAATTAACACAGAATTTCAAAATACAGTGTAACCCGGATATAAGAGAAACCCGGATATAAGAGAAACCCGGATATAAGAGAGATTTTCTATGGTCCCAAATTAGAGCCTGCGTTAATGTATATAAAACAGACCAAACCCGGATATAAGAGACTTCTTCTCCGGTCCCGACAACTCTCTTATATCCGGGTTACACTGTGTTTAAAACTTGCTATTTTCTAAATTGCAAAAAAAAATGTAAACATTTCCTGTGAAAATCCATTATTCACCGGGATTTTTTTTTCTTAAGACAACAGTGTCTTTCATATATCTTATTCATAAAAGTAATTAAAAGTTTTTCTCCTGTCATAGTTTTATGGCATTTCTTTTTAATTATTTTTTTCAATTTAGAGCAGATTTTCGGTAAATAATGTTTGTTTGACAAAAACGAATTGATGATTTATATTCTCCAAGCAGTTTTTAACTATCATAAATATGAAAAGGCTGAAATTTTAATTTCTCGAAATTTCATAAAATTTAAGTAAGTGGGAGTGACAGATATAAAATCAAAAAAAAAAAAAAAATATTTTTACCAAGATTTTTTAAAAAAACGTTTAAAAAATAATTCATTCGTAAATAAGTCCTGCAAATTGCATTATAATCCGACAATTATTTGATTTGAAAAAAATTTCCAAAATAATGTGTTTTTAACGCTAAAAATCCCTATGGTAATCTTTGGCCCAGCCCAGTCGTTGACGCAAGAAAAAGATTTTTTTTTCTTTCTTTTTTTCCAAATTTTTGAATGTGCTAGAAAGGATTAAAAAATTAAAAATAAAATAAATACTTTACTCTTTTAATCTTAATATTTTAACGATAAAACTTTTTTTTTTTTTTTTTTTTTTAAAATCAAGTTTGGGTCCATTCTTCATTATGGTATAAATATAAATTATGTATATATGTTTATTTTGGTCATCAAATATTCTTTTATACTAGTTTCATTAAAAACGATTGGCAAGGTACGACGATTAAGCTTCTTTTTTTTTTTTTTTTCAATTTTTCATGTGTTCATAAAAGTATTTTCTTTTCTAGGCATAAAAATTGACCATTAGGACCCATTTAAATATACAGGGAAACCTACTAAACTCTGTAACATGCTTGTAAAGAATGAAACTATAATAGCCGCATCTACATATAAAAAAAATAATGGATAATAAATAAAAGGGAAATATTGATAATGAAAAAGAAAAATCCAATATTCACTAATATTAACTACGAGCAGTAGAGCCCGGCGTTGCCCAGGGATGTAACAGTAAGAGATAGATCAAGTATCGACCACCATAAAGACTGAAAAATAAAATTGACAAAGATTATTGTTTAAGGTTGACGGACACGCATGTCTTAATTAGTTTTTTTTGACAAATTGTTCAAACCCAAACAAAAACATTGTTTTCAATCGTTATGAGTCTACCGATTGAATAGAATTTTATTATAAACAATTGTCTTGTAAATGGAATTTTTAAAGCATTCTGAATGTAAAAATAAAGAAAAAAGTGTGCAAAATAATAAGAAACACTACCTGTCAAAGAAAAAAAAAGAAGTTTTGTTGAAATCGGTTGAAAAATGTAGGAAATCCGATCCCATATATAAACGAACACACACACAAACAACCTGGGTTTTATAATAAGTATAACTCGATATGAGTTGTCCCCCTTTCATTCTGGCGACAGAATCGTGTTTTATCGTGTTTTCAAATTGATTTCGTGCAAAAACAATTGTGTTTTTCCAATTTTTGGTGCTGTCAGAACCACCGCAAGGTAATTTTATGCAGTCCTGTGAAGTTTTGTTGAAATCGGTTGAAAAATGTAGGAAATCCGATCCAATATATAAACGTACAGACACACACACACAATCTGCGTTTTATAATAAGTAAATTGAAGACAGTCAAAATGTGCTTGAAAAACATAAAAAAATTCCCGTCATGAGCGTCTGCTCAAGTATGGATATCCATTAAAAGTAATACCATCTGTCGGCTTAATAAATAAAAATTCCATTGCTTCTTTAGAAATATATATATATATATATATATATATATATATATATATATATATAAGGGGGAACCTTTTAAACGACGCGTTTCGAGGAAGTGACGTTCGTCGTCTTCAAGTTGGACTGAGACAAAACAGTGTGTGTATAATTCATGCTATAATGCGGTCAAATCACGATGAAAGCACTGGTTCTCGTCCGATCACCGAAGTTTAGCATTGTACAGCCAGGTCAGTATTTTAGATGGGGGACCGCTTGGCAATCCCTGGTACTGTAAGCAGACCCCTACTACCGGGGTAAACTTCATTGGGCACCTCGAGGTGTTGTAATGGTTAGCAAGCTTGTCTCGCTAGAACAATTACAACTTAGTAGCGAGTTCGATCCTCACTGGGTGCCCCCTACTTTCGGCCTTGTGCCACATCTAAGCTACGCTTGGAAAATCACTATATATTCTATAAGTATTTTGGCATTTCACTCTTACACACAATGTGTTGGTAGGAGCGGGTTGGCGGGGTTTGTTTTGTTTTGTTTTACGGCATATCAACCTCAATGGATTGTTTAATGCCGACAAAGTTTGTGTTTTTTTTTTTTTATTGCTGGTAAAATTTTGTTTTGCCAAAAATCTATTTCTGGTCATATTTTTCGTTGAAAAATATATTGCTGGTAATATATATATTTTTTTACAAAGTATTTCTGGTATTAAAACCTATTTTTACACTTTCATAGTGTTTTTACTCCATAGCTGGAGTCAGGGTGAACCTGGAAACACCAACAATTAAGAGGTGGTTCCACGCTCCTCAAAACCTCCTGATCAGAGGCCTTGCTGTTGGATGTAGTTTATAGTCTTACCCAAGACGTTGAAGAAGTTTATCGTCATACCCAAGAGGGCGGGTTGTGGTGGGAATTGTCCTTCTCTGACTGGTTGTTCCTACCACAGCCGAAAAGCTAGGTTTACTCTACTACTTTAACTAAATCTGTAAGAGTAATTAGAGATGCTCTCATGCCTTTTCTACATTGATACAATGTGAGCATAGCTGTCCCGACCAGAATTGAGAAAATGAAATCTTAAAATATAGCAACGAAAAAAAATATTTGTATTACAAGTCATTAGAACGTTTCGTTATGGTGGTAAGTCATGATTGAGCACTCTCACTTTTAGTCTTTTGTCAAACTATGCTTAACTGAATAAACTTGAGCACCGACCGTTGTATAATCGCTGGTATGTTCATGTAACAGTCAACTTAGCTCGTGTTGTGTGTTCTGTCCTCACTGGGTGCCCCGCTGATTAAACCTTAGTGATTTTTTTATCACCTAACTTGGAGCAAAGTAATTAAACAAAGAGAACTATACTAAGTCGTAAGCGGCTATTGAAAGTGAAAGAAACCAGAAAACAATGAAAGAACAGAGTTCAACGAGACAGAAGATGACGAATGACGTTGCGTTTAAATCTTTGAAGATTGCAGTTTACAGGAAAACAAGAAACGGATGATGAGACCTAACTGCCAATCAAGTACTGCGGTTAAATTCGTAAAGTTGAGATATCAAAGAGATTCTGGCGAGAAAAAAAATTGTCTAGCATATAGTGACACGGGACCAATTTTCTTGGCAGCAGACCTAGCAATTGATTCAATATAATCATTCCACTTCATGTCGGTGGAAAATGTTAGAGCGAGATGAGTTATTCTCAAAGTCAGCATCATTCCTATTGACGGAAAATAAAAAAAAAAGGTTATCTCAGACGACTAAGAAAGAGCAGTTTCATTTTGGAGGCGTTAAAATTGACAAGTCATTTCTTGCCCCAATTAACAACAGACTGAATGTCCTTTTCGAGAGCAAATGCCAATTTTATTGAACCTACCAGACTTGCTATTAAAACAGTTGTGTCATCCGCATAGATATCGAATCGGAAACTGATGACATTTGAAGGTCGTTAATGAAAATAAGGAACAAAGAACGACTGTGGATAGTTACCTGAGGGACACCCGCATTAATGCAAAAAAGATCTAGAAGAGTGGCCGCTCAAGACAACATCCACTACTTGATTTGATAAGCAAGATTGAACCAATTAAATTAATCGGCCAGAAATACTAGAATCCTTCAAGATGTGTAGGACGTCATGACAAATCCTGTGAAATGCTTTTTAGATGTATATAACAATAGAACTTTGTCGTTCTTATCTAAAGCTTATCAATAGAAAATAACTGATTCAATAAATACGATGAAGATTAATTTATGTCTTGAATGAAGACGGTAAACGATTTTTGATGGTTAGTATGAATTAAGAATGAAATAGATTTAATCGAATTTTACAGATTGAAATTAAGAGTAACAAATGAATTGTAATCGATTTTATAGAAAGGCATTAAGTTATTGATTATTTTTCTAGATAAATTTTATTCTTTTTTTATATTATGATTTTCTTAATAGTGATCAATCATTTTTCTTTAGTCTTTTTGTTTTGACCCCTCGCTCCCAGAAATGATAATTAATTCCTATACTTCTATATAATAAATGCGAATTTTCCAAATTTACTCTATATCCGAAAATTTACCATTTTGGAATCGGACCGACTCCGTAAGCAAATTAAAAACATTCCGGGCCAGATCCAGGCCCGCAATACTGAAATTTTGGATTTCCAAGTTTTCATTATTGCAATTGTTTTCGGCGATTTTTTTTTTAACGTGCTTTTTGCGTCGATTTTTTTGTACGATAGCAATTTTGATAACTTGAAAATAATTGGGAATAATTGAAATTAAATGCGAAATCCAGCAAAAGTCACATGAAACAGAAAATAAGTGTTTGTACGGAAAGTAAGGACCTACGTACATCAAACCGTCTTTAAATTAAGTGGCGGCAGAAGAATTATCGTTGAACTTTTAAAAGGTGAGCTTAAATATTAATCGAATATTTAAATGCAGCTATCAATTTTGAGTTCTATATTTATTGTTGCCTATCGCATCTAGTTCACCCTAATTATATGTGATGAAGGCCCAATCAAGAGCCCTCCGCAGGCGTTAGCTTAAATGCTGCCTGATAGGGTGGCTTTTAAGCTGGTTTAAAATATATATTAAATCAGGAAAGAATATCTGTCACACCCGTTTAATAGCTGAAAACCTAACCAGTAAGTTCCAGACTGGGTTGATTTGATAAACGGGTTATTGCTGACGTAGTAGATCAAGTCAAACAAATGACTTGAACAAGGCGGTAGGGGTTCACACAAGCGCTACACAACTTTCGCTCAGTTCGAGGCAGTTTCAAATAATGTTTGAACAAAAGAAGTGAACGAACGTCTAGTAAACAGCATAGCCCAATGCCTGAGAAAACATCTCACTTCTTTGGGTTTTTTTTCCTTTATTCGGGATCCGTTTTGAAGATTGCTATTTTCCTCCCATTTCTTTCTTGTCTTTGTTCTCTAACCCCAATTTTCCATGCAATTAACTGAACTCTGCGAAATTTGAAACACAGCTTTGACCTATCTACCCTGAATTTTAAGGTGTACACGGCGAGGTGATATGGTCAGCTGAATGTGGATTCAAAATGGCATTTCACAACCCGATGTGACTCGTATATTGTAATCAATGTGTATATCCCTTGTCGTTCCGTAAACCAACATTATTCTTTATATATCAAGAAATAAGGGGGTATTTCTTTGTAAACTTTGTAACTGACTTGCTTTTCTTGCCGTTACAATGATCAGCAAACCATGATATATTCTCTTTCCTGTCGGTAAAACGCTCACAATAACATTGGGACGACAGACGACTGAGAAGCTTCTTATCAAAACATACAGGGGACGCTGGTCACGTTAAATAGCGTTTGATGGGATTTGGACCGAAGAGAATGAAAGAGAAACAAAAAACGTAACTGGTAAGAAAATAATGCAGTCTTCTTTCATCATGTTATTACATTGCACTGTTTTGTCTCAAACGTTTTCTTTTTCCTTCTCGTTTTTATTTTTCTACGCGTCTATTTTTCTTTTGTTTAGTTTGTTTTCGCTCTTGACTTTATTGTTCAATGTGCCGCGTCTTTTCATGTCACGGGCAGCCATAGCTCTCTATTATTTCACGTCCTGTGTAACTCTTAGTAAATTGTCTATTCACTGTCTCCTAATCCCTGTTCTGCCAACCATTTACAAAAATTCGTCATGTAGACCCTATGTTGCTTTTGTATGTCCCTGTTGCCTGTCATGTGAGCAGAAAATTCTCCAAGCCCTCTTTCCTCATTAGGTAGCCTAAAAATTTCAAATCTTTTTGATGCCAAGTACAAGTGTCCTTTTTTCTACTTTCTCAAAACTTCGTTGCTAACATGTTCAGTCCATGTTTTTTTTTTAGATTCGTTTATTTAAAGCCAGAAAATATTTTTAGTGAAAAATGATTTAGAGATACAAGTTTTACTAATTAACCCATAGCTCTGGAGAATAGATATATAGATTCATACATTTCCCTATGGTATTCGCACGTAAGTGAACATAACGAACCCAAATGAGAATTGGAACTCGGCTCAATGATGAACAATTCCGAGCTATTATCTATTACACCACTCGCACATCCAGCCTCACAGCACATGGTATTCACAGAGAGTCACCCATCTAAGAATAAACTAGGTTCTACGTTGCTTAGCTTTGGTGATCTTATCGGAACCGGTGTTTAAACGAGATGTTTTCGTAAACTTTCAGTCCATCGAATTCTCAGCATCCTTCTGTAGAATCCCATTTCTGTTGCTTTAAGTCTCTTCATCTGTGAGGAGATTTTCCAGCATTCACTGCCATATAGGATGACCTATATTACATAAGTTCAGTTGTAGTTTTTGTTTGAGGAATTTTTCCTGTTTCTTGCTTAGTTTTTGGGAGGCATATTTCGTTGTTCCAATGCATCTTCGGATTTCAGTGTTGCATTTTCTGTCTCTGTTAAAACATTTCCTGGATATTTAAGTTTTTGTACTTGCTTGATTTTGATCTCTAATAGGAAGTTCGCATGTTGAACTGTTCCTGTTCCTAATAGGAATGTATTGTCTTCTTTCAATTGATATTTAGTCCTTTCTTCCCGTTCCTCTCAAGTACCTACTGTAGTTTAATTTCTGTGTCTGCTATCAACAGTCTCGTTGATTATCCTTTCATTTACTTTTTCACATCCCTCATCATCGTCGCGCTCAACTCTTCGCGTTCCTCATCGTCCTCGCGCTCCTCATCGTCCTCGCGCTCAACTCTCCGCGTTCCTCATCGTCCTCGCGCTCAACTCTTCGCGTTCCTCATCGTCCTCGCGCTCAACTCTCCGCGTTC